CCCTGGGACCCACCCTCTTCAGGAAGCCCACCAGTTTTGACCAGTGGGAGAACAAAATGCTAAGGAGAATAACCATATGACTATCATTGCCCAGAAAGAGGAACAAAGAACTGAGGACCACCGTGGATAGTACAGTGTAGGCTGCTGAAGCAAGTCACACATTGCCTGGAGAATCACTCCAGTCAAAGAAAGTCGGGGTGTATTGCTCCCTTTGGTTGTGCAAGCCTTCCCCAGGTGCCCAATTCAAATGGACTCACTGAGGGGAGCTCATGGCATGATGTAGGGGCGCTGAAGGCTCTGAGGTTCGGTCCCAGGAGATGGCAAAGCCAAGGGACTTACCTCAGATAGAGAGTGCAACCCTCAAGGAGGGCTGGCATACTGAAGGGAGTTTCTCCCAGGGGCTGTTCCAGAGCTCCAGACCTGTGAAACTGTGACAACTAGTCAGGTCCATCATTTCACAGACAGAAAAGGAGCCCTTGGGGAACAAAAATGTCAAATTCTTAATTCATGCATGCTGAACACTTTTACATGAAGTGGGCCAGACTGAGTGTTAGGGAGACCAGACATCCCGATATTATCAGGACCATCCTGATGTTAGGAGCTTTGTCTTAAATAGGCACCTAATACCTTCCCCCATTACCTCCTCCCCCTGCCGCCATTCTGTTTTTTCATATTTGCTATCTGGTCACCCTATTGAGTGTTGCCCCTTGAATGGGATAGAATTTAGGAGGGAGAAAGGGCAGCACCCTTTGGACGTGAAAAGGATGGTGCAGCAAAGAGTAAAACCCTAATAACACAACAGTTTTAATCCAAGAGTTTACATTCATGACTAGTCAAAACTACAGCAGTTGTCATGACAGAAGTTTCATGGAGAGTATTTAAAAATCACTTCTAAATGCCTTAGGTTTATGTGCAGAACTGCTGAGTTATCATTCTCTTCCCCTGTTTTTGCTTTTCTTTCTTCCCATTTTTTGATTTTCTAACACATTTCTCTTTTCCTTTTTCTTCGTCTACTTTCTGTAAACTGGCAGGGAGTAGTAAAGGGAGGGGATGTGGGATTGTTGTCACTCTTCTAAGACATGGTGAGATTAGTCTGTTGACCACCTGGTTGTAAGGTTCTAGATTCAGGAGTGCCACTTTAGAAAAATACTGAAGAAATTATTATTTGTTACAAAATCATGCAGGCTATCAAAACCAGATTAATATGCTATACACCAAATTGTGCACACCTGCTACACTACTAAAATGTTCATTTTGAAATGTATATATGAAAACAGCCACTCACTGGTACTTGACAGAATTATAATATTCGCTCACCACTCAACTTCAATCTTTTTTATTCAAATTGTGTGTATCTCACTGTTTTAAATGAGCTAGGAACACACCTGTATGTGATATCAATCATATATGACAGCATATTGGATCTTTTAAAAAACATTATGAACCCCCAGAAGTCACTCAGGTATCCAGTTTCTATGCCGAATACAAAATATTGCTGTTTAATAATGCATATTTGATCAAAGTTTGCCGCTCTCCCACTATCAAATCTTCCTTGTGATTTTATAGATTGCAAATACAAGATGTTTTAACTCTCTCGAATGTAATAAGTACTTTTATTTCACTTGCTTCAAATCTGCAACCAGTTTGGGAGTGAATAAGACAATTAACCACTGCACAACATAGTCTGTTTATATTACAGAAGATGGATACATAAAGCTATATGAAGAACTTTTTGTAAATTTAACAGGGTGTCTTGTCCCTTATGAGCTAGAGGCCTGGGGCCAGCCAACCATGCTTACTAAGGAGGAACAATTGAGCAGGAATTACCTGATTACTCTAAAAGAGCAGCAGGAAGAAGCCAGGCTGCTGGCCCTGGAGAGAGAGTTCTCAGAGAGAACAGAGTGAAATATAGGCTACGTCTACACTGCATCTGGGAGTGAGTTTCCCAGCCCAAGCTGTCAGACTCATGCTAGTGTGCCTAAAATAACTGCATAGAGTAGATATTGGAACTTGAGCTGGGCTGGAGCTTGGGCTAGCATAAGCCCTGAGTCTGTAGATCTGGGATGGGAGGCTCACTCCCAGAAGAAGCACAGATATATCCATATAGGCTGCTGGGAGTGAGTAGGCTCCAACAGAAACATGTGAAACTTGGGGAGTGAGATAACTGGGAAGGCCTGTGAGAATGGATGGACTTGAAAACTTCATTAGATCAATAAACACTCAAAATAAAGCAGGAGCACACAACTGGGAGAGGGAAAGACTGAGAATAGCCTTGTAAAGCAGGGAAGATGCTAAGACAGCAGAGAACTTGGGAGATGTGGCCAGTTTAAGGCTGGACGAGACTTTTGAGTTTATTTTTTGAACATTTCAAATTGAACCCTAAGGAGATCAGTTATTGGATTTGTAAAATCTTTTTGGGAGGGCTATTGAGGAACTAAGAGGGGAAACTGAGGTGAGGGGCTGCTTGCAGGGTTGTCTTGAGGCCACAAGGGGGCACCCAAGAGGAGGCCACTCAGAGTAACGTTCTACTATGATATGCATCCGAAGAAGTGGGCAGTAGCCCACGAAAGCTTATGCTCTAATAAATTTGTTAGTCTCTAAGGTGCCACAAGTACTCCTGTTCTTTTTGCGGATACAGACTAACACAGCTGCTACTCTGAAACCTGTTCTACTATAGGGGGACAGGAGCAAGAAGTATAATGCACAAACTGCTCATCACATTAAACTATACAACTCCCTCTGTTACCATAGTTCAATATCACCACCAGAATTTTGAGCACTAAAGCTTGTTAAAAAAGTTGTAAACTGATAGGCAAGCAGCACAGATACTGGGTTAGATTTACAACATGCAATAATGGATTTTTTCAGATAGATGGCAATGCACACAGTGCATTTAAGATTAAAATATGGCCCAGTGTCAAGATTTCATTTCAGTGTTTATAGTCTTACATTAGAGGCATTATTGCATTATCAGAATAACTTTTATAAGGATAATAGTTTAGGACCCACTGTGGCAGTTTATCCATTGATTTCAATGGGAGTATGTTGGGCCACAAGACCTTGAGGCACCACAGGTTTTACTTACTAGACTTTCTGTCACTCAAAGAAATGTCAAATTGTAATAAATACAGTGGACAGAGCACATGCTATACTTCTTTTTCATTCCTATAATATCCAACAAATATTGTACAGTAGTTACAGTGGGTAATAAATAGATTTAAGTCAGATTTTTGCAGGTCTAGTAATATTTTATTATAAAAACCAGCGATAAAAATATTTTTAACAACTATTTAGAATTGTTATTTGTAAAAACTTTAGTTATTACCAGTCTTATGTCCTTTTATTCTAACATGCAGAACTGTCAAGCTACAAGCATTTGAGTGAAACTTTAATTGTTTAATTGCAAAACATAGTAAATCCCTTTTTTGCCAAAGTGGAATATTTTAAAAGCAGCTTAAAAGGAAATGAACAGGAGCAAGTCTGACTTATCGTTCTGCACCTGCTTTAGGATTTCGATCGATGACTATCATGATTTGGAAGCATCCACCACCGTTTTGTTTTCTTTTCACAGTAGGTGGTTGCTAGGGAACAAAATACTATTGTCTGATTTCATGATCTATTGCCCAGTTTGCCTGGCAATAATGCTTTCTAAAATTTAACAGAGGTCACTTATTAATTTATTATGTATAAGAAAAATAAAGACTAAGAGAAATATGGAGAGAGAGAGAGAGAGAATAAGAATCTCATGAAGCCTTTTTAAAACTTATTAAAGAAAAAACATGCAAATATCCCTGGACAATGAAAACAAGCTAATTTAAGTACTCTACTGAAATACACTCACACACAATCATTTTTTTGCAATCATATCTATATTTTTTCCCTAACTTGTCCAAGAATATTGTATATCCCTTTCCAAGTGGAACAAGCCTGTAAAGTTCTGTATACATTACACATAATAGAATGTGCGGACAAGAGAGGCATACAGTTTATAATTCGTATCAGAAAGAATTTTGCTATTCAGATTGTACTCATGTTGGGGGTCTCCGTTTATTTATGTAACAATTATTGCTTAGTGGGATAGATAGAAAAGTCCAAGTAAGGTTGCTCCTGTGTTCAGTATAACAAAAGATAATGCAGGATACTGTATCTAAAATTGCACACAACAATTCTAACCGTAAAAATGTCACATATTTTTACACTATCAAAGCTTCCTAAACAAGGAATTAAAAAGATTGTTACTGCCAGACAATGTGGGTGCCTGTGATGGCATCATCAGAACCTAGTAGAAGGCAATCATACTTAGAAATAGAGTGACAGGTGAATATATGTATGCACAGATATAGCCTCAAAGAAAGATTTTAAATAAAACCTGTGGAGTAGCTGTTACTCCATCACGCACACCTGAAATTTCACATCCTACACAACACATACATTAAAAAAAACTTGAAAGGCCTTTGAAATACTATCAATGCATATTACTTTTTTGTTACATTAAAATTTGAGAGAAAATGAATGAGGTATGTTCCAAAAGACATCAAAGCTTTGACATACTACAATGAAACTTGTGATATTAAAAGTAATACAGGCAGCATATAAAATACACAAATCACAGGGATGATCTCAGAGCTCCTTCTCTCCTCAGCCCAGAGTTGAATTTATTCAAATGTCTACCCTCTCCTTAAAGAACCTGACAGTCATTACCAATGTATATTTAAAATTAAGAGTAAGAGTGAAATGTAAGCCAGCTCTCTCCATAGCACACAACAATAAACTAACCCTAGCAATAGGAACAGAGACATTAGAGACGGACAAGACCTAGCTCACCAAATCCATCCCCTTGCCAAGAGGCAAAATATGCTACCACAAGCGATAGTGTTCAAGTGGTACCTAAGGGTCTCTCTGCCCCTGGCTAGCCGCACACCCATGTCCTGTCATTTCCAACTTCAGTAAAACCTGTCTTAAGTAATCACCCAAGGGACCAAGGAAAAAAAATCAGTCACCTAGTACAGCTGCTCTTTAGTTACAACCAAACTGTCCTGGAAACTGCAGAGAGAGACTTTCCAGGGATGGCTTCACCCAGGGTCCAAGTGATGCTGGTCCTCAGTGCAGGCTCCCCTGGCTGGAGAGGGTTTGCCCCTCCAGCCAATCAGCAAGAGGGAGCCCCGGGTGCCCGACCTACGGGGTGGGTGGGCAGGAGGCGTGCGGCCGGAGGGGCCCTACGCGCTGTCAGCGCCACGCGTGCGGGATGTTATGGGAATGGGGGGATGCCCAGACAGGTTGGGTGGGAGGAAGAGGAACGAGCGTGGCCCGGGGGAGAGTGGCAGCAGCTGCCCTGTCCCCACTCCCGGTGCCAGCAACTGCCTGGGAGGGACCAGCCCGTCCCCGCGGCTGCCAAAAGAAAAATGCCCCCTAGAGAGAAGAACAAACTTTCTGACTCCCCGGGGACCAGCGGCTGGGCTTGCGGGGGGGGGGCGGCCGGGGCGCTGCTGGGGAAGAGACACACACCCAGAGGGATGCTGGCGGGGGGAAGGGGGGGTTAGGAGGCAGAGCCGGCAGCAGCTGCGGATGGGCGCTGGAAAGCGGGGGAGCGGCGAGCCCCCCGTGCTCGCCCCCACACGGCAGCGCCCCTTCCGAGCCGGGCGGGGGACCAGGCAGCCGCGGGAAGCGGCAAGCCCGGAGGATGCTGCCGCCGCCCGTCCCTACGCTCCCTACCTGCTGGCGGTGCGGAGCTGCCGGGGCGCGGCGCGGCCCCTTCTCCCTCGGCCGGCGCCGCGCAGCCCCCACCCCTGTCCCGGGCAGAGCGCGAGCCCGGCCGCCGGAGCCTGCAGCGCTGCGGGCGGAGGACGCCCCGTGGCGGCGGGAAGCCCCGGCGAGCGGCGGCGCGGGGCAGCGGCAGCGAGCCGAGCCGGCTTAGGGGCGCTGGAGAAACAGCCGCCTCTGATCCAAAACGTGTGTGTGTGTGTCAGTGTCGGGCTGGGGGTGCGCGCGAGTGTGAGGGATGCGGCAAGGGAGCGAGGGAAAATTCCCCCGCTTAGGAAAACCGTAGACAACTGGCAACGCAGGTGTGCTGGGGAGGGAGCGGGAGCGGGTTGGCGGCTGGTGCGGGGGCAGGGGGGCCTGGGATGGGAGGGAGCGCACAGATCCGCCTGAGCTGCAGGCAGCTGCCGCCGTGCCAGGGCCGCGCACGGGGAAGCAGAGACAGTGGCTTCAGCTCCTCAGGGCAGCAAGTGGTGAATCTGTCAACCACAGACGCCACGGCGACCTTGAAAGGCGCCGGGGCAAACTGGCACTGAGCTGGCAGCCAGTGAATAGGAGGGGATGCTTGTAAGGGGTGGGGACACAAAGGGACTTAGCCCTCAGCCAAGAGCTCTGGGGGAGAAGGACAGAAGGGACCGGAGTGCTTTAAATAAAGAGACTCCGGCTCATTCATAGCTGATGCCCAGAACCTCCTTGTGTCTCCTATTGTGTTAAATGCTAGGCAGCAGGTTGCCACTTTAGTTTACTCTTGTGGGGGGAACGTTGATTACAATATATCCACCCCATTTCAGTCCCTGAAAAGTTCTGTTGCATTAGCTCCCAGGAAAGGGGGCACTGAATTCTGTTTGCTTAGTTACAGCATCAATTATACAGTGAATTATAGAGGAGCAGCTGTAGGAGGTTCCCCACAGGGCTAACTTCAACAGGGAGGAAGGAGTGAGGGGGACAAGGTGGCTGTCAAAGCAAAAATATAACTGCTATTTCTGCTCATTTTATCTGGCATCCTAAGGCCTCCTGAGTTTACACACAGGTCAACACTAAAGAACACTTGTGAAAGGTTTACATCTGCAACCACTTTATTGTCCTGTTCAGTTTCCCAAATGTATGCCCAGTTTGACTGGGTCAGTAATTCTTTAGGAATCTTCCAAGGAGAATTTGGTGCTACAAGAAGTAATGTTAGTAGCACTCTGACCTCTTGAGTTAGTATGGAGTCTAAATCAATATCCTTAACATAACCTCTCTACTCCTGTTGGACATGTATTTTACCTCTGTATTTGGCCCACAATTCAAGAAGGATGTTCTTCTCTTCAAAGACAAGCCAAGAGAATGATTTAAAAAGTGCCTTATAGTGATAGACTCAAAGGGTATGTCTACACTTCAATAAAACACTGGTGGCTGGCCTGTGCCAGCTGACTTGCACTCACAGGGCTTGGGCTGCAGGGCTATAAAATTGGAATATAGGCATTGGGCTAGAGCCTGGTCTCTAGCTTAGGCTTGTGGACTCTCTCTCATCACCGGGGCCCAGAGTCCAGGCTCCAGCCCAATCTTGAATGTCTACACTTCAGTTTTTTAGGCCCTCAGCCCCAGGCCAAGTCAGCTGACATAAGCTAGCCACAGGTATTTTATTGCAGTGTAGACATACCCAAAGAGCTTAATCTATTTAGCTTAACAAGGTTAAGGGATGACTTGATCACAATCTATAAGTATCTACCTAGGGAGAAAATAATAACACACTTTTCAGTCTAGCAAAGAAAGGTATAACAATCCAATGACTGGAAGTTGAAGCTAGACAAATTCAGACTGGAATTAAGGTGTCCATTTTTGACAGTGCGAGTAATTAACCATTGAAACAGTTTACCGAGGGTCATGGTGGATTCTCCATCACTGACAATTTTTAAATCAAGACTGGATGTTTTTCTAAAAGAGATGCTGTAGGTATTATTATGGGGAAATTCTACTGCTTGTGTTACAAAGGAGATCAGACTAGGTCAGGGATTGGCAAGCTTTGGCACATGGCCCGCCAGGGTAAGCACCCTGGAGAGCCGGGCCGGTTTGTTTACCTGCCGCGTCCGCAGATTTGGCCGATCGTGGATCCCACTGGCCGTGGTTCACCTCTTCAGGCCAATGGGGGTGGCGGGAAGTGCTGGCCAGCACATCCAGCACATCCCTCAGCCCGCGCCGCTTCCCACAGTCCCCATTGGTCTGGGATGGTGAATCGCAGCCAGTGGGAGCCGCGATCAGCCGAACCTGCGGACAGGGCAGGTAAACAAACCGGCCCAGCCCACCAGGGTGCTTACCCTAGCAGGCCAGGTGCCGAAGATTGCTGATCCCTGGATTAGGTGATCACAATGGTCCCTTCTAGCCTTAGAATCTATCAGTCATGATATTAGGACACTGCTACCGGAGGTGCTTTTTTCCAATGGGACATAAACCTACAGTAGGTCTTGATTGCTTATGGCAGTATTATCCAGCAGACAGGGTGTTAGACTGTGTCAGAAAACCTTGGGTTGTGTTTTTGCACAAGTCACATCACCTCTCTGTGCTTTCTTTATCCCATCTATACAAATGTACATATGTAGTGATCTTTAGTAAACTAGGCTCAGACCCTCAAAGATATAATATCTTTGAGGATCTGAGTCCTAGAGATGAAAAGTGAACTCTGTATGAACTAAGTACTATTATTAACAATTAGATGACACACCTAGTATGAGCAGACGTGTTAATACTGTTTTTGTGGCCGAATTTAAGCTCATGCAGAATGTGTTTACTAATCTAAATTCATCCTGCAATTTCAATTGGAAAAGTGAATTCTTCAAATCCTTTCCTAAATGGTGGTGCAGAGTTGTCATGTGCTGCAAACAGCTGAGGTGTCTGTGTTTTAGTGCTGGATAAAGTGATGCCTTTGTATATCAGTTTACAATGTGGTTCAGAATACGTCTGGTTGATAATTACTTTAGTAAATGTAAAGTAATCGTATCAAACATGGATATTAAAGCAGCATATTAAGCATTTCATATATATTGGATACATCCTAAATTGCTAGTGGTAGAAAGCTGTTGGATTGTTGTTTTATATTTTCTTTCATTCCTGAGGGTCTTCTTTCATTAAAGCATCACTACAGTATATCCAAAGGTGTTGTGCTAATTTTGTATTTACATTACCAGATCATTTTGTGTTTACCAGTAAATACACTTTATGCAACAGAAGTCATTTCCACACCACTAGGCTTGCCTGATTTAAACGGTACTGGCTTGCGTTGCCTCTGTGTGTGGCTTTTTTCCCTGGCTGGCAGGGTTAGTGTCACAGCTTCAGTTTGAGTAATGACAACAAGCAATACTGACACAATTTATACCAACCAACACAAGGACATCCGTGTAGAGGACAAAGCATAGAAACTAATTCACTGCTTTAGGTAAGTGCTAACAACTTATACTCTAAAAAAACAAACAATAATCACCCACCAATGCAAAGATGGGAATGTCTGCCCTGCATTTTCTCACTGTAGTTCATTTTTCACCAGTTTGCCTTTGTTTTGGATAGGACAATGACACAGATAGCTATAAAAGAATAGCTGCTGGAGGCATTTCTATCAGATGCAGTCCTGGTGAAAGAAAGTCATAATTTGACTCCTATATTATTTACACTGGAACAAACCTATTGAATGATGTTACAGAATGTATAGATTTCAATACTGCAAGTACTTACGCACATGCTTAACTTTATATACATGAGTACTCCCACTCAAGTACATTGCCACAAATGGAACTATTCATGCTTAAAATTAAGCATAAGTGTTTGCAGGATCAGGGCATAATTAACAAATATGTCCTAAACCCCAGTCTCTGAAAATAACTCTTAATCTTCTTGCTTGTTTGGTTTGAAAATAAAAATAAAATTAAAAAACAAAAAGACTCCACCCAGTATAAACAAGCTCTATTTGACAATTATGTAAGTGGAGAGTGATATAAAACAGAGCTAATATAAAATCTCACCAATGACACTGGAATTGTTTAATATATCTGACTACAGTGATGACATTTTTAAAGGATTATTTTGTCCTGGCAATTAAGTGTCCCTTTAATTGTCTTATACTCTCTCAACTGTACTCACAGAACTCTTTTTGCACACGTCTATACATCCTGAGAAGCAGAAAGGACTTTATCTGTTATGAATTTCACTAGAGCTAGTCCATTTGAGCATTTTGCTATTTGTACTTCAGTAGCTCTTAAGGGCCCTGATAAGGAGCAAGGCTCCACTGCGCTAGGCACTGTACACACACAGGAAGACACATCCCCTGTCCAGAAGACATCACAATGTTTTTTTTAATAACTGAAGTTTTTTTAAATGGAAACAATTTATTTTTGATGTCATCTTTGTAGTCAGAAGGGTGAATTCCCCTAGGCCTGGTCTGGAGCTTTGTTTTTAGCAGAAAATGTGACTGATAGTGTAAAGAAAACCAAAAACCCCACCAGACCTCATTTCAGCCCTCATTAATGCACTGACTTCAATAGGAATTGCATAGACACAGCTAAGGGCACAATTAGGCCCTCTGGACTTTTAAAGCTTCAAAAATAGTCATATGTAATTCCTTCTTCTTTGGATTCTGCAAGCTTTAAGAGATTTTTTGAAAGCTGTAAATTCCTATTTATCCACTAAGAGGCTCATAGGCAATCTTCCCCTAATGGAAATGGAACTGTAAAGCTGAAACATTAATATACACAATATGATACATTACACTGGAATGGAACTGTCTCAACCAATCAGAGGACAGGGATGCTATACACTTACAGAGCCATAACCAAGCTGTTTTCTTCCACTTAGTTCCCTGCACTCTGATTCTTGGTATCTGATTTATACTATTACTGTATGGTTAGCTCTCAATAGCCATATGCTATTTGAATCCCTGAACTCTGATTGGCTAATAATGACTA